AATGCAATAAAAAAATTTAAAGAAAAGAAATAAAGCAACAAATAACAATTTGTAGTTACAAACAAACCAAACCAAAACCTTTCACCCAATTTTTCTTTTCAAATGCTCTGCTAATACATTCCTGAGTTTATGTGCCTAACAAATCCTTTCAAAGAGGCAGGAAATGCTGACACATACTATGGTGAGACAGGTAGCCAACCCCCTCTCACCTCCCCCCCCCACACACATCTTTTATGTCACAAACTTGTTATGTCACATACTTGTAGCACTGTCTGCGGGTTTTTGGCTTTCTGTTGTTATTGTATTGTTGCTTTGGCCCAGACCAAGCTGTGCTCAAGGAATATTACTGGCTAGAGCTTACAGTTCACTCCTGGTGGGTCTAGGGGATCATATAAGATGCTGGGACTCAAACCTGGTCAGTCGGGTTTGAAAGTGCCCTACTCGCTGTTCTTCTCCGGCGAAGGCACTGTCTCATTTCTACTACTTCCTGTCAGGTGATTCTACAAAACGTTGCTATTGTGTCCTCATTATCAGGCAATGATAAAGTTGCAATATAGTAAATGTCAACTCACAATCAATCACAATCACAACCATCCTGTTATTCGTCAATTGCCTCGAGCAGGCCCCAGTAATGCCTCCTTCGTCCTAGCCCTGAGATTTTTTTTAAAACAGTGCCATATTCAGGGCTCTTTCAGAGTTAGGAGAATGAGACCCTTCATTGTTACTGGTATTTGGCATATTGGGTATGCCACGGGGAGTTTGCCAGACTCTGCTGTGTGGGCAGGTTACATTAGGTAGCCTGCCAGTTTGTCCAAAGTAGGAATGAGATGATAAATGTCAACTCATATCAATTCATCTATGAGCCTCAAAATTCCAAGAAAATGTCTAACTTTCTGGCATTTCTTAAAACTCAGACTTTGGGGCACCTAATTCAATATCATAGGGGGAATTTATTTCAAGTGTTGATTCCCAGGGTTTATGTCAAGCTCCAGAAATTAGCTCAGAATTTGGTTAACCAAAATGTCTGAAGCTGGGCCCCAGAAATATGTATTTTTAAAAGAATCCTGTATTATTCCAAAACACATTAATATTGGATAAACACTGAGCTAGACTTAAGACTTAAGAGTGACTAAAGTTTAATGCAGATGATATGGAATGAAATATTTTGAGAAACTGTTTTATATTGTTATGTATGGCAGGAACTCTTTTTTTTTGCCTTTTGGGTCACACCTGGCGATGCACAGGGATTATTCCTGGCTCATGCACTCAGGAATTACCCCTGATGGTGCTCAGGGGACCATATGGGATGCTGATAATCGAACCTGGGTTGGCCGCGTGCAAGGCAAATGCCCTACCCTCTGTACTGTCACTCCAACCCCATGGCAGGAATTCTTAAAATGTATTTCCACTCATGACCCAATTCTGCCTGAGAAATGCAACATGATTGAGCACTGCCAGGAACACCTCAAATCCATTACATAGTTGATATTTTTGTTTGTTTGGGGGCTACACTTGGCGGTACTCAAGGTGTCCTGACTGTGAACTCAGAGATCATTCTTGGCAGGGGTCATGAAACCAAATGGGGTGCTGGGTATCAGACCCACGTTTGCCACATACCAGGAGAGCACCCTACCTACTATATAATCATTTCAGAACCTATACGATTGATATTGACTTAATTTTTGCTTTGTATTAAGAATCTTTAACTTTGCCAAAGTTTTCATGACTCCCATATTCAGTTCCTGACCTCATATGGGATCATGACCCACAGTTTCAGAAGCTAGAATCTATGGCACTCTTACTTTTAAATATTTTGACCACAGCCCTTATCAAATAAATGTGCACATACATATACACATGTATATATACAATGATACAGACTACATATACGTCATGAAATTCAAGTTTAGTGAAATACTCTAATATCTTCTATTATATCCTATTTCATTTTTTGAATACCAAATACAGTTCACTAAATAAATTTCATAACTCTAATAAATCACAAACTGACAAATATTGATCTATAGCAATTAACTGAAATTGCTGTGTGTTCAGTTGCATAAGCAATAACCTAAAGTGAAGAAACATTGGAGAGCAGATAGATAGAGCAGATAGTTGGAGTGGGTTCAATTCCCATATACATGGGCGCCATGCAGCACAGCTTTAACATACTGTTTTTCTAGCACAAAGTTTTCCCTCATGGGAAGATTAATCTCTAGAAATTTTTCAAAGTTGTAGGTGAATCACCCTTGCCATTTTGCTTTTACTTGTTCATATTCTATTTATTTTTGCTCACCTAGCACCTTTCTGATGGAGCATGACATGTGGATTGACATGAAAAAGAATGCCTTAATAGGAGACCTATACTTTCTATTCACTAGAAAGGTTGTTTGCTATGTCTACAATAGTCTTCCATTTATCCATCAGACAAGGGTAAACCTGGTTTATCAGCAAATTCATGGCAAACCTTTGATGTGCTTGAAAGCTCCAACAGGATTGGGTGGAGGGTAGGTTCTCAATCCTGGAAGAAAGTATGACACCTAAACAAGTGAGCCTTCAACAATAGGCATTGGGGCACTGACCATCAACAGTCAAAAATATTCATAAAACTTTGACACCCCCAAAACTTCAAATAAGCTTCTGCTAATAGGAAAGAAGTCTTATGAACTTGTGGTCTTCAACCACCAATCCACAAGTGTAGAATGGCTGAAAACCAAACAGGAGATACTGTGGGTAGGACTCTTGTCTTGCACACGGCCAACCTGAGTTTGATCCCCAGCACAACATATGGTTCCTTAAGTCCTGCCAGAAGTTATCCCTGAGTGTGACATCTCCTCCCACCAAAAATAGAAAGGTTGAAAACCATTGGTTTACCACCACCCTGGAATAATTGTTGATCCATGGACCAGTATGCTGGACTGGTGCCAGTTTGCATGTATAAAGATTGAAGAACACCATTAAAGACAACATAGTAATATATATATATATAGTATATGTATTATATGCTTAGTCTTACAATAAAATAAGCTAGAAAAATACTATTAAGAAAACACAGGGAAGAAAAAATACATTTACAATATCTTCAATTGCATGAAAAGTGCTCAACAGTCAATTATATATTTAATGAAAACAATCTGCATCTAAGTGAACCCATAACGTTTAAATCTATGTTCATTATGGTCACCTGTCCTTCAGAATGGTGCACTGACTTCCATCACGACTTTCACAAATTACGGACAGGAGATAGCTCAAAGTGCATTTGCTTTTCTATGTCCAATTCAACTCATGACACCAAATACATGGTTCCTCAGCATGGGGGCAAGACTTTCACAGGTAGCTCCAGGTGTGCTTTATCACTTTCCTGGAGAATAGTTATCAATACTGTATCTCCTAGGATACTTTAAAATATCCAAGCCCAGGGTAGACACTTCCAGAGATGTTAAGACTTACCCACAAGATATATAAATTAATTCAATAATTCACACTCCTAAAGAGAGATGAAAAGTATATTGCAATACACTGAGATCAAGGGGTTTCTATTTCATTTGTTTTAAAGATATTCTATATTTTATTTCTTTGATCTCTCCTCAGTGGAAGCAATAGCATTACATTGTTGCAGGTTTTAAATTTGAACAGCTTATTGCATAGAATAGGGTTAAAACTTTTTCGCTTAAGGACTAAACAGCAAGCGGTTTAGTTTTGTTGAGACACTGAACTCTTTTACATCTAAACTCTGCAGCACAAAAGCAGCCATAAATAATATGCATACAGAGGCTTGGAGAGATAATACTATGGGACAGCTGCTTGTCTTGCATGCTGCAAACCAAGTTTGATCCCCAACACTCCACAGGGTCTCGTTAGCCAGGAGTGAGCCCTAAACACAAAGCCAGGAGTAGGCTCTAAGCATCGCCAGGTGACCCAAAAACAAATAAATATTATGTATGCAAACATGTATGCCTGCATTCCAGTGAAACTCCATAACAAAAATGACTGGTGTAAAACAATTGTTCACTGATTAATTCCAGCTTCAAAATGTTTGAATAATTGTAATTAGCATTCTGATTATGTAACCATTAATACAAAATTAGCAACTGATCATGAAAATAAATACATGTGTACTCAGTTTCAGAACTTATCCTTTTTCTACCATCTTATCATCATTTACCGGAAACATGGAACCAGCACCCTGTTTATATTAAAACTATATGGTACACAGCATCATTTGCAGAGAAACTACTCACCTATTTTCTCTTGTGAAATTCTCATGCCTCCATAGCATAATGTGGAAGTACTGTTTTGCCTTCCTTGCTAGCAGAAAATACCATACTTATTTGTTAAATGTTTTAGGGAGGTAGGGAAAATTCACTTCTGTTGCTTTTGAATACGTTTACTCCTATGTGCACATGATCAGTGAGGTAAAAACATATAACCCTAAATCTAAGAGTTTTCACTAAATAATTTCCATTCAACTGAGACGGTTTCATCAAGGATCTTAACCCAGTTATCATTTCTGGTTCTTACAGATCTCTCAAAATGCATATTAATAGAAGCCAGAAGAGTGAGAGTAGTGTCAAGTGGATGAGATCCTGCACAGTTCTGACTCAGTCTTTGAAGCCATGGTGCAGATGGCATCTCTTGCCAGCATTTCCCCCTCAGTGCCCATTGTGCATTGTAAAGTCCCTGAATCTGCAGTGCCAAGAGTGATGGCATCCAGGCACATGGGAGCCTGGAGCTGCTTGTCCTCCCCACCCCTTCTGCTCAGGGAAAGCTCCTTACTGTAAAGGTCAACTTGCTACATATGCGGATCAGTACCAGATAGAGCGGTCTCCTACAGAAGGGGCACATCGAACCCCACACATACCCCCAAGGTGAGCATCAGTTTATCTTTTAATTTGCCATGGTATTGAGGAAAATAATGCAAAATCAGAGGTTTCGGCCTTGGATGTTACTTCTGAACTTGATTATCATGACTTCTTATTGCAAGATAACATTGTACTTACTTGGAAGTGTTTTCAAGTATTCCTTTGACCTCATTCATTTCTTCTTTCCCAAAGTAAACAACTGTGAGGTGAATTCTCCCATCCTGTTGTATGCATATTTCCCTAGGAACAAAACAAAGAAAAGTCTAGTCCAATTCCACAGAAACAAGCAAGAGGCAAACAAAAACCACAGAGAGGATCTTGGTGTTAATTCACGACTCAAGAACCAAGGGGAACTGAGACATTTCCACCTGGTTATAGAAATGACCTTGTTTGTTAAATATTTCCAGGCACCTGGATCCTTAGACTCCAAGGGACTAGCAACCCTCACAGGGCTAGTTTCTAACTCTTGTCAGGTATAGAACTGCTTCCCCACAGCAACATAGCTAATCTCGTAATCTCAGAGACTCGATCCTCCTTAGAGGGTTTACTCAAATATATGTCTATCACCTATAAACATATATTTAGACATATATGTAGATATATGTAGCAATGTAGCACTGTCCTCCCATTGTTCATCGATTTTCTCAAGTGGGCACCAGTAATGTCTCCATTGTGAGATTTGTTGTTACTGTTTTTGGCATATTGAATATGCTATAGGGAGCTTTCCAGGCTCTGCTGTGCAGGAGGGATACTCTCTGTAGCTTGCCGGGCTCTCCGAGAGGGATGGAGGAATTGAACCCAGGTCGGCCACGTGTGTAGCTATCTATCTATCTATCTATCTATCTATCTCTCTCTCTATATATATATATCACACATACGAATGACTAATCACATGCATATGTAAATACATGCACATGTGTACACATATAAACCACTTTCATGTGTGTATATATAGATACTGTATGATATATATATATATATATATACACACACATACAGGTGTAGTGTGTAATTTTAATAGTTGTTCTTAGGAAGTAATCTTTAAATGGAAAAAACTTACTATAGTAGATTGTGGTAGATAGTAGTTTGTGATATTTTACACTTTATGTATCCTTCCGTTTTTTAAATTTTGTCTGTGTATTGGCTAAATCTCCCTTACTCCCAAACAACAATGTACTTCATAGTGAAGAAAATTCAAAAGGAAAGAAATATCAGGATCTGAGGTGACAATGGGCTCCAGGCACTAGGGCTGACCCTGGTTCTAGGGTCAGGACTGTTTCTTTTCTCTAAGCGAAGGAAGCACTATTCAGGAAGTCAAACTGATGACAGAGTTCCAAACTACAGAAAAGGGAGCTGGAAGCAAGGCATGGGACTGAGAGCTACCTCAAGAGTTCCCTTACAGCCCTGTCCCTCTACTCAATTTTCACCTACCAAAAACAAATTTCTCAGTCCATAAAAGATTTCTTAACACACTTGCCAGAAACACTTCAATTAATCTCCTTTGCTAAGATAAAATAAAAGGACACACACTGAACCAAAAGCCCCCAAACTGGATTTTAACACTGTCTTTGCAGTTGAAAAGAATCTATTCCTTAGGGTATGGTATGCCAGCAAGTCAATCTGTACCTGTGAGGTGAGTGTATCAGCAGCCTGATGGCAATGTCAGACTTTCAGATACCCCAAAATTGCTTCTGTGCCTTTGGCCAGACCCCAAAAACTTGGGGTAAAGTTTACCAAGAAAGTAAATGGCCAAAAGTTAGGTATATGGGAGACACACCCACAAACCACCTCCGGCTGAGCTATATAATTGGAGGCATGGCCTCTCTGGTTCCTGATCGAACTACTTAAAGGTCATGATACCAGAGACTCAGAAACGAATCTCGGAACCCAAAGGTTTTTGGCAGAAATGCATCCTGTTCCTGCAGTAGGTTACTGGTGCTGGGCCACTCCAGGTGGGAATAGGTTTCGTGCCTTGACCTGTTCCCCCTGGCGGCCTGGTGATCACCATCCTCCAGAGGCCACTGGACAGTCAGGTTTGGGCCTGCAGTGATGAGACACACGGGGCCTCACATATGGGGGTGGAGCCGACTCTTTCTCCCCATCCTAATGAGACCCCGAGTCGCCGCCTACAAATGGCCTCTCTGGCTCTTGATCAAGCTGATTAGTGGCCATGATACCGGAGACCCAGAAACAAATCTTGAAACCCAGCGGCTTTTGGCAGAAATGCATCTGGATTGCATAAAAGGTGGCCACCACCTCAGAGCTTATTGGAAAGCCAGGTATGAGCCGGCGGTGATGGGGCAACTGCAGTTTCATGGGAAGGGGGCGGTACTGGCTCGTCCTTCACGCCCTACCGAGGTCACGAGTTGCTCTCCACAAATGGCTCTCTGGCAGTTATGGCTCCAGAGGCAAAAGGACTTAATCCAGAGCCTGGAAGCTTGTGGCATAAAAGTGAGTGAACCATGTGTTAAACTACGGCACCATGCCTCCCCGGGAGGGAAAGGGTGTTGCTCCCTTCCGCCTTTCCCCCCCTGGCAGCAAGGTGGCTGCCACCTCAGAGCTTATTGGAAAGCCAGGTATGAACCGGTGGTGAAGGGGCAACTGCAGTCTCATGGGAAGGAGGGCAGTACCAGCTCGTCCTTTATGCCCTACCGAGGTCATGAGTTGCCCCCCACAAGCGGCTCTCTGGCATGGCCATGACTCCAGAGGCAAAAGGACTTAGTCCAGAGCCCAGCAGCTTGCAGAAGAAAAGTGAATGGACCATGCGTTAAACTACGGCATCATGCCTCCCCAGGAGGGAAAGGGTGTTGCTCCCTTCTGCCTTTTTCCCTCCCCGGTAGCAAGGTGGCCGCCACCTCAGAGCTTATTGGAAGGCCAAGTATGAGCTGGCAGTGATGGGGCAACTGCAGTCTCATCGGAAGGGGGCGGTACCGGCACATCCTTCATGCCCTACCAAGGTCACGAGTTACCCCCCACGAGTGGCTCTCCGGCACTGCCATAACACCAGACACACAGAAACCAATCTTGTAATTATCTGGCTCTTTGCAGAAATCCAAAATCGTGGCTGTGTGATATTATATGACACTCATAACCAGCTATAGAAAACAAAATGTTTCACAATACCTTTTCAGCAATCCTGAATGTTTGGGAGGAAATTCTAAACAATAATGGTGCATCTTTTGTCGAAATAATAAGTGCAATCAATGTAGAGAAGAGTTAAGTTGAAATCGTCTGCCTCACAAGCATTTGGGGGAGTGGGAAGGGGGGATATACTGGGGTTCTCGGTGGTGAAAAATGAGTACTGGTGAAGGGAAAGGTGTTTGATCATTGTATGACCGAGACTTGTTTTTATTTCTTGAAGTGGTGTTTTTTAGTTTTCTTTGTACAGTTTTTTCACCTCTTTAGTTAAGCTGATTCCAAGGTACTTGATTTTCTAAGGCACGATTGTGAATGGGATTGTTTTTAATATCTCTTTCTTCTCTTTCATTATTTGTATATTGGAAAGCCATGTAATTTTGCATATTGGTTTGTAACCTGCCTATATAACCTACTATAACCTATATAACCTACTATACAGATCTGTTCTTTCTTTCTTTCTTTCTTTCTTTCTTTCTTTCTTTCTTTCTTTCTTTCCTTCCTTCCTTCCTTGTTTCTTTCTTTCTTTCTTTCTTTCTCTTTTTGGGTCACACCTGGCGATGCACAAGGGTTACAATTTGCTTTGCACTCAGGAATTACCCCTGGCAGTGCTTGGGGGACCATATGGGATGATGGGAATCGAACCCGGGTCAGCCGTGTGCAAGGCAAATGCCCTACTCGCTGTACTATTGCTCCAGCCACACAAACCTGTTGTTTCCAGTAGCTCCTTAGAGTCTTGAGAATTTTCTTAGTATCAAGTCATCTAAAAATAGTGATACCTTGACTTCTTCCTTTCCTATCAGAATGCCCTTGATATCTTTTTCTTGCCCAACTACTATAGTAAGTAGAGTACTATCTTGGATAGAAGCGGTGGGAGTGGAAAACTTTGTCTTGTCCCCGACCTTAGAGGGAAGGTAACTGTATCTCATGGTGTTTCACTAATAAAAATTTAAAAACAAAAAAGAATAATACTTGCTGTGGACTTGTGGTAGATGACTTTGTCTAAACTGAGGAAAATATCTTCACTTCCCATTTTATTGAGAGTTTTGTTTTAATCATAAATGGGTGCTTGATGTTGTCAAATGCTTTCTCTGCATCTATTGATATGATTATATGATTTTTGTCTTTTCTTTTATTGCTATGGTGTATTATGACTATTGACTTGTGAGTGTTGAACCACCTTTGCATCTTCTGGATGTATCCTATTTGTTCGTTATCAGCCAAAGTTGAAGTAGAGTAAAACATACAAAATGAATTTCAGAGATCCAAATTCCTGAGAATCTCTTGGGGAACACCCCATTTCCTCTTGTGGCTTTGCATTCATGCCACAATCCCACCTGGTTATTTTAACACCTCACTTAGAAACATAAAAAATATGTTTCTGTTTATCCAAGATCCTGTCCTTCCAAGATATTTTTGGTTTTTGCTGGATACCAACAGTTACTTATCATCTGAGATATCATAACACAGATTAAAGAAGACTAAGATGTATTTTTATTCTTATCATGGTCACTTACACACTTACATTTCTCTCAAGAGGCCTAAAGTTGTAGTTTTCAGTCTTTTTACATCATGGAAGAGTTAAAATAGGAGAAATGTTTCACAAATAATTAAGGCAAAGTGAACAATCATTATTTATAATGAGAATATTTATATATGACTATAACAGAAATGTTACAGTGATACATGTATACAGTGTAGTAACTAGGAATTACTTTTCCACGGACCATCAGTAAATTTCTGTGCATTGTCACTGCCACCCATGAATGGGCAGCTAAAGTCACTAACTTCTAGCACATGAGGGTCTCTGAGCTCTTTCACTGTTCTGTAAGACTGCACTGTGGATACAAGCACTGGGCTGTTGCTTGCACCTTTGCACATGACCTGCTAGAGCATGTGGCTGGATATGCAATTAGTTTCCTGATCCCCAAGATGGTATCTGCGTGGCTTAGATCACTGTGGGAAGAAAGGAATGCACCTGTGAACTCTGGCTGCTCTGGTCTTACTGGGGAGGATTCCACCACAGAGCTGTGTGGTGTGTATGGCCAGCTGGAAGAAGGCCCACAACCTTCAAACATAATCTTGTGGGGAACGACTTGTCTCCG